GTGGATTCCCTGTGTTTTCAGCTCTTATCTGTACCGGTGTACGTGCTCTGGTCTAGCCTGATTTGTAAGGTAGAAATGGGATCATGACAGTGGTGGTAGTGGTGGGGGAGCATTAAAGAACTAGAGGAAAGTGGTATGTTTCATTGGTGCTACACTGGACCCTGCCTGGCTCGTCCCCTTCCCGAGACCCTTGGAGTTTCTTCTTTTATTAGATTCCCATACAGTCGGCTCTTTGTCCATATGTTTCAAATTCTATAGGACCCCTGCCTTTTTATGTCACAGATTCAAACATAGCAATTGTGAGGACGGCACAGGAACAGGCGGTGTTTTGTACGGTGGCTGTTGTCTGACAACAGCTAGGTGGATTGTTGATGAGAATACTGGGACACACGGCAAAACCCATGACAGTGCAGCAGGGGCTCCACGTGCCAGGACTTCGGTGACGCTGGCCCTAGCCCGTTCTCACCTTTCTCAGCTTCTGAGCGGATCCTCCCCCGTGGACGTGCACCAGCTGCCCCCTAAGCTTCCCGTCGAGGCTCTGTGGTCTGTAACCGTGGAGTTGCTGGCATCCCATAAGATCTTAACAGCCCAGCGCTCAAGGGAGCCTTCTTTATGAGTGCAGCCAGATTATTGTTTGATTCCAACAAGGCTTCCGGGGATATTTGTGGCTTGAGGTCAACAGAGTGTTGTTAGGATGCCATTGAGTCAGTCCTTATGCATAGTGACCCCGTGTGCCACAGAACCAAACACCGCCCACTCCCGCGTTGCCCACGCGGCTGCCAGGGTGCGGGGTGTCAGCCCACTGGTACAGCCACTGGGTGCGTCCGCTTCTGGGCTCCAGAAAACCGGGCATCCACAAGAATTTGTAGTTATGTTTTACCTTTCCCTCCCTTTTGATCAGGGCCCTGTGTCTTTTTATTGTTTCTCTATTCTCTTAAAGAGTGGTCCCAAAAGATATATGTGGGTTTTTAAAAATCATTTTATTGGGGGCTCTTACAGCTCTCGTCACAAGCCATACATACATCCATTGTGTCAAGCACATCTGTACATTTGTTGCCATCATCATTCTCAAAACATTTGCTTTCTACTTGAGCCCTTGGTATCGGCTCCTCACTTTTTCCCCCTTCCTCCCTCATGAACCCTTGATAATTTATAATTTTTTTTTCATGTCTTATACCGACCCCTGTCTCCCTTCACCCACTTTTCTGGTTTTTGTCCCCCTGGTGTGTGGTGGCTTTGGTATGCGTAGATCATTGTGATTGGTTCCCCTTTTGTCCCCCTACCTTCCCCCTACCCTGCTGGTATTGCTGCTCTCATTATTGCTCCTGAGGGATTTAGTATAAAAATTGTTTTTGTTTTTTCATTTGTTTTGGGTGGCAGCATACAGGAGCCAACATGCACCCGTTCCGTTCAAGATTGCTACGTGGACGGTCCAGTAATGTTGGCCACGTGTGTCACAGTATGTCGCCAACCTCACCACCTCTACCCATATGCGTGTGTCACCACCCACTTAGGCTCCGTGTCCCTTGACCTTCTCATCTGTGTGGTAGCTAAGCTGGAGGAGCCGGGGGCCGTGGATTAGACATGGGGCTGCTGCCCGCAAGGTTCAATTCCACTAGCCTCGGGAGAAGGGTGAGGCGGTCCGCGCCTGCACCCGCACCGAGAGTCTCAGAGGCCCTGTGAGTTGGAGGCAAGTGGGTGGCCGTGAATTTGGCTTGCTGGGTTTTGCCCCTCAGAGGTCCCCTCTGTGCTTTGGGTGAACGGTTGTAAATCTACACTCATCTCGAGAATCCTCTGTAACGAGCTCTGCTCAGGCAGAGGAGCCCGAGTGGCACAGTGGTTGCACGTTGGGCTGCTAACCACAGGTCAGCAGTTCAAAACCACCAACCGCTCCAAGTGAGGGAGACGAGGCTTCCCACTTCTGTAAAGCGTTCCATGCTCAAAGACCCGGAGCGGCAGCTCCACCCTGTGCTAGAGGGTCGACTGCGCGCACTGAGAGAGAGTGAGGGAGCGCGCAGGCAAACACTCACCCAGCTGTTGATTTCGGGAACGGCGGACAGTTTGGGGTCTACGTCTGAAAATGGCTTGCGTG